AATATATAAAATCCTCAGACTTACTACACTTTTTTAAAGTGGTTTAAAATATAATGGCCTCTAATAGAATACAATTTAATAAGAAATTCAAAATATCTAAATTAAATATGAAATCATTAGATTTACTACGCTTTTTTATCAGTGTATTAAAATTTAATGGAGGCACAATAGAACCCAATTTAGTAAGAAATTAAAAATATTTAAATTATATATGAAGTCCTACTACGTTTTTTGTCAGTGTATTAATATAATGGAGGAACAATAGAACACAATCTTGCAAATCAGTGAGTACCCCAAGCACATGTGTATGTGAACTGGAAGAAAAAGCCCTGGTTCACGTGCAACAAAAGTTGGCTAAAAGGTGTTGGTAACTAAGTTGTCAGACTAACTCGGTCCCCCTTGTCTTCCACGGGGCTGCTGCGAATGGAGCAATCCTGGGACGAATGCAAGTGGAAAATTCAATTTGTAAAGTGCATGAAAGTAGCGTCAGCCGGGGCAGACCAAAAACGACGGGATATGGTGGAGTCGTATGTATGTGGATGCTCGGCGCTCAGGGTGTTTGTTGTTAAACAAAGGCGGCAGCTACTATTCCCTACCAGGGGGTATTCCACTCCAGCTGCCGGTTGTTTACACATACTGCCATAACAAGGACGACTGCTGAGTCCAAGTTGCAGTGGCATAAACGTGAATGCAGCACCAACATTGTAATTAAATCTGCGTCAACATAAGCGTTGCCAACTGCAAAGAGTGTGAGAGCAAAAATGGCCAAGGAGGAACAAACGTCGAGGACTTTTTTCCGTGCACGTGATTGTGAATGGCCATGTGTTTGTTTGCCTTTCTGGATGCTCACTTGTTGGCCCAGACAGGTGAACATATGAGCTGTACAGGTATGAGCCGGCGGATCTGATCATATTCAACAAAGGATTGATAAATTTAAACTGTTTGAGGCATAACTCATTCTTGTATTATTCCACATTTATTCCTATCAAATAAGGAAACCTTTCTTCAAATGCTTAGAGCTTTGTTAAAACTTAACTGCATTGGTCTGCACTCAAGCTCTAAAAAGGCCCTAACAACATATGCTAATTGAGCTGAAAATCATAGCCCATATAAACTCTACTAAGAAATATTGACGAAGAAATATAATACCACTTTCAGTCACTTCTCCTTCGCATCCATCTTCCTTGAGCCATGTTTATTATCACTGGGCCTGCACGCATATTTGCGGCAATTAAGTCAGACCTGAAACGCATAAATCACGCATACGCCCCATTGAGCCCGTTTCCCCTGCCCACCCGTTTTGACCTGATTTGCTTCGATTAGACTAACGATAAATATCCAGTGTTAGTGCCTTTGACTTTGCCCTTACCCACTCGAGTGTTTTTATGTCATAGAAGGGTTAAACAGCCGGCCAGCAAACTCTGGGCCGCCTGAGTTTATTAAGCTGTATAATGTTTTGACAAAGGTCTGGAGCGATAGAGGTCGATGGCAATTACCAGGGCAATATGAGTGGTAAACCAACACGAGGATTCGGGCGAGTAATGGCCGGATGGAGGGCATAACTTAACGTTCGCCAGTGTTGACGCTCACATCCTTGGGCGGCCACTTATCATAACGCTCGAGTTCGAGCCTCTCTGTTCCAGAGCGACACGCACATGCGCCGGCAATTATGCTAAAAGCGTTGAATTTATAGTTTCCCACACTCGTTGGCCTTTGAGCATTTTTAACATGGCTCAGCCTGTCCGCATTGGGCCACTAAATAAATGGCTTTTAGAGCACGCGTTAATGATGTTGATTGTGGCCCAGGGAGCCAACGGGAGTACCTTCCATCCCATGCCATCCTATCCGAACCCATTCCATCCGAGCCCATCCACCGATTTCATGTTTAATGTTTTATAGCCACTGCGGCGAAAGGGGCAGACAGCACGTTCCTGTTGGTCTCTGTCCGGTTTATTTTTATGATGATAGATGGCCCGGCCACCCTATTCGCTATCTCACCGTTGCCTGTTGTCAAAAAGGATTTAATGCCATATTTATTAGAGGTGTAAATGCATACACTCCAGCCTGAGTGTATGTGCGGGGCCAGCACTGTTTGTTAATGGTTCACTTTCAGGATAGTCCAGTGACATTAAAAAAAGAATGCAACATTTTGAGTATATATCTCAGGCCATAAAAAGGTGATAAATAGGGGCTTTTAAAAATTGTATTTACATTTTTTAATTTGTTAACAAATATTTTGTATCTATATTGCTTTATCTGTGGTCTCACCGAAATAGGGCTGTACTGATTTTAATATACGTTTTTAAATCTGTGATAGTTTGACCCTTTTTAAACATTTCGGATTCCATTAGCTTTCATTTATTTTGGTTTCAAGTAAGTGGAATACAAGTCAATTTTATTTTTATTTTTATTTACCCACACTCTTCATAAATTTTTAACATCCACCCCTCCATTGAAATCGAACTTCTTTTTCTAGCACTATATTTTTTGTACAAATTACACGGTTAACTAAACAGGACTTTCTACCCCTAGGAAGGAAAATAATTCAAAACATCCTGCGCTTAAAATGCAAAGTGGGCATAAAACTAAAACTAACAAATAAAAATTGAAAAAAGATTAAAGTGTTGGCAAAGCAATGCATCCTCCCCACCAACCTGAAGGAAAAAGGAACACAAGAACGACAACAAAAAACAGAAAGGAAAACATTTACAGCCCAAACTCATCACTCAAAGGCAGGACCATGCCCCCTTTTCGTCCCGCCCTGTCTGGGGAACAAAAAATACACATAAACAATCCGGATGCAGTGGAAGCGGAGGCGGAGATCGGGGCAGACCAGCAAAATGGTTTAAAACTCAATTAAAGTTTTAGCCGCAAAATAAATGCAAAAACGACGACGGCAGCGTCGACAGGAGGAAAAAAAACTCGAAAACAGGAAACAAAAAATAACAACGATTTGGGAATACCCAAAAAATGACTTCCTGATTGGTGGAATACTCTAACACAATTTGTTCAGTGTAAGTTCGGTGGATAATAAAGAGCAACATGGTAATAATTTACTTAATTCAAAAAGAATAGAGATGCAATATACTTTAATATTAGTAATAATGTTTTAAAAAAATAAAATTATTAACTATTAAAAAAAGATAAAGATAGATAAATAGAGATCAAAATATAACTAACCTGTCTTTAAATATCTATAAAAATAAGATGATACTTAACATTGAATTTTAACCATAGACCATCCCAATGCAACATACTATTTTGTATTAGGTTATTCCTTGAGTAATTATGACAACAAAAATCTTTATTAAAATAAAATGGTTTATAAGATAAAAAAATATTTACTTCAGCTATAGTAAGTTAAAAAGATTCAACAAAAATGTATTTTAAATAGGCATCAGTTAGAGAAAGCAGTTTCGCATTCCTCCGTGTAAACCGCTCAAAGTGCGGGCCATCAGCGCTAGCCACGCCCACCGGAATGGCCGCCCCCTTTTCCTCTAACCATGGTACTTTTGATGGCTGTAATTCAAATGAAAATTACACAAATGAATTGAATTTCCGAAAAATGCAGCAGCAGCACTGGCAGCCAGCGAACTAGCGAAACTTTGATGAGCCCCGGATCTGGGATCTGGTTTTTTGGATCCGGAATGAGCGTAATGATTGTGGGTTCGAGCACTCGAGTGTTTGTTTGTTTGTTTGTTTGTTTGCGATTAGTTTACGCGCCCCTGGTGCCAGAATGCCTTTGGCCACGGGCTGCACCTCTTTTGACTCGCTGTCGATTGGAGTGCAGTTGGCCTAACGAGTTCCTCGAGAGTTTCACGGCAAATGGGTCTGAGTTTGGGTTTTTGTTTTCGGTTTTTAGGGGGAATTTAATGGCGCATTCTGGCCACACGCCGCCTTTGCCGCAAGAGTTTAAATTTGTTTTATTGGAGCGTGAAATCGGGTTTTGTTTTTAATTTTGTTAGGTTCGTGAGAGTACTGCTGCTGGCTGAAGTATTGTTTCAAATCGCCCCAAAAACTATACTTACCCTCCTGGGTTAAAAAATATCCCTTCAGGAATATATCCCAGGAAATCTGAGAATCTGCAGTTAGCAAAGATACAATCGCCTCGCACCTAATTTGAATGCAGAGATGTCATTAAAATTAAGGCATTTAAGTGGCCAACGTGCATTAAAATGGAATGTCCCGAATGCGGCAATGTGTTAATGACTCATTACACATGCAACACCACCAAATGGGCGATTCTCGCAACGGCAAACTTTTGCCACAGTTTGTGGAACGCGAATGTGGCTAAAATGCGGCAAAACATTAAGTTGAATTATGCAATAAAAATAATGCAATAATAGTTAAACTGGCACATGGCCCACAAAAACCCCAAAATATGGGGAGAGAATATGAGAAATCGGAGCTTCACATGAGAACAGTGCATGTCATAAAAGTAAGTCCTTGAATTTAACAAATGTGTATTTTGTGTCACCTAAACTTTGGAGTGAAGATTTTAATCAGTACTTAAAAGAAAGAAGGAAAGAAACGATTTGTTTTACTTCTTTTAATTAAAGGTAGCACATTTTGTCCTTTGGAAATGCACATAAGACATTCGTTATATTTTTAAATATTTACCCAAATTACTGTGCAATTAATTTTCCAGTCTTTACAATTTGAATATGTTATACAAAGATTTGAGCAGTTTCAGCAATTATTAGGTTTTGAAGAAAAACTGAAAATGCGAAAGAACTCTTTATTTATTAAGTACACCTTACATGACATTCAATTTATAATTGCACATTTTGAACACACACTTAGTTCCGATAGTTGGGTTAAATGATAAAATGAGGCACAACAGATCTAGTAACGATACTGAAAACTGGGATCCGAACCATAGACAATGCAACCACATGGATAACCTGTAAGAGGCGTTCAACGAAAGTTAACATAAAAAATCATTAAGCAACGGATGACAGTTAATAAAAGACTGACAATTAATTACACACATAGGCATATATATATTTGACGTTTATTTTTGTGACACCAGCCAATAAGTACTTTATAAAGACAAATTTGTACAAGTCTTATGGTATAAATTCATTCGCTTGCATTTGATACATATAAATATAACAAGCAGTATTATCTTTTTGAAATAATAATATCGAAACGGCTTAGTATTTCAGTGTTTCACCAATTGAAATCGTGTGGGGAATTGGGTATTTTTGGGGCCAACAACCTGCTAAGTCTCTAGCCACCAAACAAGGGGAACCGGGTCCAAACTACTTGGCCAATGCTGTTTATGGCAACTGTTTTGTGTACAATTTGGGAAGCATGAAAGAAACGTGGTTGATCAAAAATTTAGAAATATTTGTTCGGGTTAATTTAGCACACATATATAAGGCTTAGAAAGAAGAGTAGGAGGTAGGGATAGAACGAGAGATAGAGAGAGATACCAAGGACCCCCAAAACTTCGCCTCAGCCCTAGGGGCTAACATCTGAAACGAAAGAGAGTTGATCATTTGGCGGAAAAGAAAGATTATAAGTCCGCTAGCATATCATGTTTTCCCCCGCAACTGCATATTTGTACAAGCTAGCTCAGGATATGAGTAAATTAGGTTGGTAAATTCATGGGTTTCACACAAAGCCTCTTGGTAAATTCATTTAGTTACAGTTACAGCACACAGACATTCACAACAAGCCTTAGTTGTCGCTGCCGTAGCGCTCAGATGCCATCACCCAATGGACTAAATTGCAACACTTGAACTTGCCTCGCGGTTTGCACTGCAGGTGCTCTTTGATGTACTGGCAGGGGCACTGGAACTGTCCGCAGTGGCGTCCCGGCTCCAGGGGGGTTACGTCCACGAGACCCCGTAGGGCCTCCATCCCCCAGCGGGATCCGTAGCGCAGGAACAGCTGCAGGCCGCGCTCCTGCGGAGATTCGGGGAGATCGGGTGGTGAGACACGGGGCAAACAGATAGGGTGCAGATGGTTAGTGCAGGTGAGTGGGGTTAGGAACGTGGGGCATGGTAGTCGGATGAGGAATGAGAATAGTTTAGTACATTGCAATCGATGCAGTGATGGTTCATTCTAGGGCTACTGCATACTTTGCGGCAGCAACAGAAATTAACACGGATAACATCCACAAAATACAAACGCTTACGAAAATAAACAAAATTGTAAATTCCTAGGACCTAGAACATGTTTAGTATTTTAAGTTAACACAAATACTTATCATATATGATCGAAATTTAACTCTATGATTTTAAACAGGGTCTGTAATCCATATAAGTTATATTTCTAAACTCAAAAAATAATAATTACTTTTAAAACAAACAAATTTAACTGAGAAATAATCATTATTTTTGAGTTTTATAATAAAAAATAAAAGATTTAAATGCCAATAAATTGTAGGTCAACAAAAAAATACAAAGTTACTGAAATAATATAATCTACTCAAAATAATCATACATGACGACACACAAACGACATCCAAATTATTATCAAGTCAGCAATCATTTTTAATTCAAAGTTAATTTTATACGTAAAAATATGCAAAATATATATAAATTTTATTTTAAATTTGGGAAAATGTATACTACTTTATATTGTCAATACTTCAATATTTTATTCAAAAATAAAACTAATAATTACTTAGGCACTTTCGATTTAATTAAGTTAGGTTTGCTTACAAATATAATTTGAACAATCTCTTGTACTGCCAAAATGAAAACGATCAAAAGATACTGTAAAATAATCTGTAACAATAAAATAGGCTTTTTTCTTGGTTTTGGCTAGTCAATTTAATAGATTCTCGGCCATCTAGGAAACGAAATACGTTGAGGATTACATGTCAGGGGTTAGAGCCAACAGCCCATGCAGTTGATGCCGCAGCAGTGGCGGTGCTGCAGGCTGATCTTGATCTTGTTGCGCAACAACTCCTCCTCGTATTGGCAGGGGCAGATCGACGACTGCAGATGGCGGGGCGTCTCGTGGACGCCGGCCTCCTGGACAGTCCAATCCAGACGGCGGCGCAGGAAGTCCTTGCCCCAGCGCTGCAGGTAGCTCAGAAACAGCTCCTGGGCAACGGCCTAAAGGGAGTAGTTAGACATTGGATCATGAGGGGCATGAGTGAGAGAGAGAGCAAGATGTGGGCTTTGGGTTGCCAGTGCGATCCCGTTCCCGGGAGATGGAGATGATGTCAACTACCCCTACTACCTAAGAACAGTACCCTCCGAAACTTGGTATTCCTGCTCACCTGCTTGCGGGGCATCCGCACCGGCTGGCTGCCCTGGATGACGATGTCGTTGAGGTCAATGTCCAACTTCGCCTCCCAGCCCGCCTTGATGGCATCGCCGCCCGTCTGCTCCGTGTGCTCCAGGAACTCGTTCAGGAAGCTCACGCACTGCGTGGCATCGAAGTACATGAAGCACAGGTTGACCTTGTGGCACGAAATGCGACCCCGATCGTCGAGCACCAGCAGGATTTTGTGCCGCATCAGTTGACGATTGACCCGGGCCAGGCACTTTTCCAGGCCCCGTGACAGGCGCAACTTCACCCACATGCACACAAAAATGGCCGCCGCGTTGAGGAAGAGCCATCCCACGCCCAGGGCGAATAGTGCCACGCCCTGCAGGCCGGAGAAGAGCAAGGCCAACAGCACGGCAAAGGCGAACAGGATCCAGCAGACCAGGATGCGCTTGTAGCAGATGTTGTACACGGTGAAGCGGTAGTCGTTCACCAGCGTCTCCATCGCGTTCACATAGTCCTCCACGGTGAGCTGAAGGATTTCAGTTGATTGTTAAGATATCTTTTAATTAATGTTGTTAGCCATGCTCACCGTCAGGCCCTGGGCCATCAGCTCCTCGGGCACCAGCTCCGGCCGGAATATGGCAGGTGTTATCCAGGGCCACTTGGTGTTGGCCGGCAGCAAAGTGACAATCACATCGCCATTTGCTGCAGAAAAAGAACGATAACCAAATGTATAAATTAGTTTTAAGACTTAGTTTAATCTACCTATATTAATTAACTAATTTTATTCTCTGCTTGAATCATTTTGTAACCATTTTCAATGAGTTCTTTTAAGGTATGGTAGTGAAATAGCAATTAAAAGTGTGATGGTAAACGCATTCTAAATCAGTATCAATGCATTAGTATTGAAAAAACAAGGCCTGATATGTTATCTTTTGGGAAATAGTATCTACTACTCTTTCTCCATAATATTTGACACAAGGCATGTGCGCATTTCCAATAAAAAATTCGATATAAAGTAATTAAATTTCTAGCTAGCTTAAACGTTGTTTGCTTTCGGAAAATTTATATGTTCAATTGATAAGTTAAAATTAAAATCTTTTGTTTTACTTCTAGTCCATGTAATTTATTATAAAGATTTATTATTCATATTTACATAGGTAGACAAAGCATATAATATTTAGATGCTAAAAGTACTAAAAGCACTGTACTAAAGTATAGATTACCAAAAATAGGTGTATTACATATATTGAAAAAACATTCCAAAACCTTTATTAAACAATTTAGTACGTCCCCTAAAGAGATATCTTGACAATCACTCACCGAATCCCTCGCGGATGCGGCCCGTCGACAGTTCGATTGTGCGCATCCCGGAGCCCTGATCCGCCGGCTGGCCAATCCCAGTGCCGTTAGCGCCACCTCCATTATGATGATGGCTAGAAGATGCCGCTGCGGCCGGCGATGGAGAGGGGGCAGCGGAGGCTTTTTGGTTTATTAGCTGCGCAGGGTGTCGGACCGGGCCAGAAGCTGATGCAGATCCACTCGCTGTTGCAGTTGCTCCGCTGACAATGCCACTGCCGGATGCACTCAGATTAACGTGCGTGCTCTCGGTTGTCAAAACAGCGGGTGCCACATCCGGCAGGGCGTTTTGAACCTGCCCCTCTCCCGGCGTCGCAGCTGTGGTCGAGGAAACGGCCGGGCGCTACAAAGTGGCCAACAATATTGGGTTAATAATGCAACGGTCTTGCCCTTAAGACGACTACGGCCCCAAGGGTCAGACGTTGGCCAGACAGCCGCAAAGAAAATTATGCAAATGGTCGAGGAAAATCAATTCTATTGATTTGTCGTCAGGCTCTTAAAGCTTACTTGAAACTTATATCTATAAGTTCGCCTACAGTTGCACAGCGAACTGAAAACAATTTGGGACAGGGCACGTTCTCAGTTGACAAAAGTGGATTTGTGAAGGCAATCCACTGACTTCAAAAGGTGACTGCCATTGAAAAGCCGAATGCGATTTATTAGTTTTTGCTTTGCTTTTAAATGGCATGCTGCTTTAAGTAGAAGCCATTTAATATTTTATTCTGGGTGCCCTAATTCCAAGCTTCTTGGGCTTCTATGATTCTGTATAGTTTGGCTATCTCCTGCGATAAGCCAACCAAACAATGATAAATTTTGGCAATTTAATATTCTCATTTAAGTAAGCTCTAATGCAAACTATTCAAATTTGATAATCTTAGATAAATAAAAGATAAGTTGAGGAAATATTGCTGAAACCTAGTTCATATGCCACACGTCTGGCATTAGTTAAGGTTAGCTGTTAATCTATACCTATGTATGTAGGTCTGTGACCAATGTTTGTTTGATCACAAGAAAAGGAAAGCTATAGATAGGAACGTATACCCTATTTATGGTAAGTACAGCATTTGATATTTTGGAATTCTCAATTTTCAAGGTATTCTTTAGTTACATCATCCTATGAAGTACCAATCACATTACACTGTTACTCCGTCGCTTGTAATCATTATACCCGTTACTCGTAGAGTAAAAGGGTATACTAGATTCGTCGGAAAGTATGTAACAGGCAGAAGGAAGCGTTTCCGACCCCATAAAGTATATATATTCTTGATCAGGATCACTAGCCGAGTCGATCTAGCCATGTCCGTCTGTCCGTCTGTCCGTCTGTCCGTCTGTCCGTCTGTCCGTCTGTCCGTCTGACCGTCTGTCCGTCTGTCCGTCTGTCCGTCTGTCTGTCCGTCCGGATGAACGCTGAGATCTCGGAAACTATGAGAGCTAGGCTATTGAGATTTGGCGTACAGATTCCTGAGCTTCTTACGCAGCGCAAGTTTGTTTCAGTAGACTGCCACGCCCACTCTAACGCCCACAAACCGCCCAAAACTGTAACTCCTACAGTTTTGATGCTAGATAGAAAATTTTAACTGAAATGTATTGTTCTCATCAAAACCTATCGATTGACCTAAAAAAAAGTTTGCCACGCCCACTTAAACGCCCACAAACCGCGAAAACCTGTGACGCCCACAATTTGCATGCTAGATAAAAAATTTTAACTGAAATGTATTGGTGTCGTCAATACCTATCGATTGATCCAAAAATAATTCTGCCACGCCCACTCTAACGCCCATAACGCTTAAATCTGTCTACCGCCGGTAGGTGGCGCATTTTAATTTCGCTTTGCTGCTTGCATATCTCCATTTCCCTTTGAGTAACGGGTATCTGATAGTCGAGGTACTCGACTATAGCGTTCTTCCTTGTTTTTAAAATGAAAGTGTCAGGGTATCAGTAATTGAAAGCCAAAGTCTGTTGACAAGCACCGAAGGGAGCGAAATAAAATATACAAAGATAAATGATAAATATTTACGGTGAAAAGTAAAGTTACCAGCATAGCAGGTGAAATATTTCAACAATCGCATATTGGCATTGAACTACCCATTTTGTTTACCTTTTTTTTACTGGGCGAGTCATGTGTGGTGATGTGTATAAAAATATATAATAATAATAATTGTTTTAAGAAACTCTAACATTTGCAAATTTAGTGAACTGAAACAGAAATACAGTAAACGTATAGGAGATAGCCTTCTTTAATATGGGTTAACATCTTTTAAGAGAACTTCTGTGACTTGTTGGCAAGCAAACAAACGAAAAACATCGCAAGTGAAGGTAGGTTGAGTCAGAGTTTATCACCGGATGGGACCCGTTTCAGATTCAACTCTCAGCTGGGCCCCAACTTCATTTGTCATGCGTGCAACGTTCCGAAAATCAAGCAAAAGAAAGTTTAGAACCAACACTACCTCACATAACAACTCCATTAGGCGGCATCAGAAAAACTACAGTGAAGACTAAATGAAACAAATCTTAACAAGTTCAGGGAAAGTTATATAAACAATTAACAATGGAACTGTGAAACAGATAGTAAAGAAGATTATCCGATTCCAAATATCTTCATTTATGGTACATACAAATCGTGCTCCCAAGTAAAATATTATATAAATAACACATTAAAAGTAAAGTATTAAGTAATCCCTCTATTCAAAACATTCTGAATTATTCAATTATTAGGGAGGAATAAATTACAGCCAATTTCATGCTCATTGACTAAATACAATTGTTATTTAAATAATTCGTTTCTCTGACAAACGTACAGACCACATTTGATTTAAATAATTAAATCTATTTAACATTTTCTTGCGTCATCTTACCTACAAATTCAGAACTTGTTTTCGACTTCTAACAATAACTGTCTATTTTAGTAAAACATTTTAAAGAAATGTCATAATTTTGATTCAAGTTTGAAAACTTGGTTTTAGAAATGTTAGATGTTGACCTATGATAATTTCTTGATTTTGAGCATTGGCAAACTTTTATAAATTCCACTTGTTTGAGTGTTTATTGTACCGCTAAGCAAATGTGTAAATGTTTGACATGTTTCATATGGCAAATATTTTTTGCTAAGCATTCTACAGTAAATTATAAACTCCAAGGTTTTTAGTAAATATGACCAATTTTTAGTCTTTACTAATTGCACTAATTCCACTACTTCGAGGGTTTCCTGTACCGCCAAACGGGTGTGCGAAAGAGAGGGCCAACAAGGGCCTGACTTGCATTGGAATGCGTTTCGTTGCGTTGGGTCACCATTCAGAGAGAGAGAGAGAGGGAGAAAGGTGGAGAGAGAGAGTGGGTTAGTTACCTGGACAGGTGTTGTTGTTGTTACTGCGGCCGGACTGCGCGAGCGCGCCCGCCTGTTGTTGTTGCTACTAACCACCGACGGTGGCGGCGGCAGAGTTAACTTGTTTTGTTGTTGCTGCTGTTGCTGCTGTTGTTGTTGTGGTTGCTGTGTGGCATTGCCGTCGTTACTGTTATTGTTTTTTTCACCGCTGTCCGCCTCATCGTCGAATTTAACCCAATTTTTGGGCGTCTGCTTGTCGTCATCGTTTCCATTGAGGGAAACGTCTTCCAAAGGATGACTTTGCGGCTGCGGCTGCGGCTGCGCCTGCGCTGGAACCTTCCCGTCCTCCATTGCGAATGCGTAATAAACTTAAACGTTAGCGCGTGCTTGGAATTGTCGGTGTTTTTTTTTTAATTTTTGCACAGGTGAGCGTGTGACCTGACTGATATGCAGCTGCGTTTTGTTTTCGCGATTTTACTATATATTCTTACATAACCTCAATATGGATTCACACTTCAGTTGCGCCGCTGCCTATTATCGAGTCGGTTACTGTTGTTGTTGTTTTCTTTGTTGTTTTTTCCCCAGCTGCACAACGCGCCGCTTACGTGTTGGCCGCTCGCGAGTTCACGTCGAACTGCCGCCGCTGCCGCTCCCAGCAACAAAAACAGCCACGGAAACCCACACACACACAAATGGAAGAGGTAAAAACATTTGGCTCAGAGCGGAAAGCTCGGCTCAAAGGCGCGCTCAGTCCGCGTTCCAATGCCAACGGCCCGCTCAGCAAGCTCACCTGTTGCTGAGCTTTTGCGCTCTTACACTCAGAAAAATGGGTCAAGATCGGCTGGATATTGTATAAAAAAATAATAGTTATGCCTGTAATCATTAGAAAAGACTACAATAAAATATGAAGATCCCTAATGTAAGGTATTTAAGCTTTTTTAATTTATTTAATTTTAATTTTGCTTGATCTTAGTTTTAAGCCAAACCAAAAATTATTCCTTTTGTGGAACATAGTTGCTTAAAATAATCACAATTTAAATTAGTTCTTAAAACAATACAATTTCATTGAGTAAAATCATATTAAAAAAATATAATAAAATGTTTTATTAAAAATCTAATGGATCTTAATAAAAACATCTGATTTCTTTCAGTGCACTTAAATATTTATCTTAAAATATCAGCTGCAAAATGTAACGTTTCTTTCTAGAACCGCTCTCTCTCTCACGTTTTGGAGTTTCTGTTTTGGTTGCTCACATGACATGTCTTGAGCTTTTTCAAGTATCTTCGACTCCCCATTGTATCTGTATCTCAGTGAGTCACAGGTCCACCGCAATGATCACTTTTTTATCTTTGCTTATTTAGAGATGGCTGTAGCTGAATATTTCGCAAAACAAACACCTCTTTCCGCTGCTGCTCTTGAATGATAAGCCACGCCGCGCTGTCTCCGATTTCAAAACCAATAAACACCTCATATCTGTCGCAATTAGAGGGTGGAATATTCACACTTGGCTATCGGTCAGATTTGCAAGAGCTTGGGCAATTTTTACCACCTGTAGAATCTTATTTTGTCCCGAGAGATAATCCGATGACTTCCATGCGCCGAAAAAGAACCGGTAATAACATTGTAAAGATTGAACTGCAGATATAGAAATGGACTTGGTCATTGACTTAAACTAAAATGCGTATTTTATTAACGACCTGTTTTATAAAAACAAATCATGATATCACTTATTATTATAATAAGAAATGTCCTTTTTATACGGTTATTAGGGTAGACCCTTTGTTCATGATGTTATACTTAGAAGTCTTGAATATTTCACAGCTATCCTTGCAAAACTCAACATTTAAATTGGCTTTGCCATCTATTTTATTAACCACTTCGTTACCCCAATTTATGGTATTATTTAGTGAAATTCCAAGCGAAGAATGCAATTTAAAATCAATTTTGACGCTTGCTATGCCATTCACTGCGATCGGGTCCTGTTTTCCATGTCCTCCTTCCGATAAGCGGAGCAGCATGAATTTATGGCATCACGGGGATGCGGCGAGGGAAGGATGCGGATGGCTGGACCACATAGTTCACGCCTGGACGGAGCAACAAACATTTTTTGGCTCGAATAATATGAGAAATGCTAGAGAGCCCACAACATTATAGTGGCAATTGTTCGACTGGGCAGCCACAGAAAACTTTTGCCGCCCATAAATTATGCTGAAAAATTATTATATAAGCGTCCAGTGTCGAATGGCGCCGAAGAAATTGGCCCACAGCCAAACGGAAAATCGGAAAAAGTCCAGGAAAAAGTGAGGGGGGCAGGCAAAACTGGGGTGTGCCAACTATTGGCAAAAGTTGTTAGGCAAATTATGGCCTGCCACACAGAGGCATTCGAAACTGTTTCATTTCAAGTTGTTCGCATTCGGGTGCATTGGATATAATCTTTGGATGGTGGTCTCTAGGGCAGTTAAATGCAGCTGACAACTTGAAAATAGAACAGCCATCAAACACTTTCATAAATGATTTAATTTCTGGATTAAAAAATATTAAATTAAAGTCAAAGTGTATAAAAAATTGTCCTCAAAGTAGTAAAGCTACATAAGATCTTAGTTACAGCATTTTGCTTTTATTTTGAAATTTTCTTGGCTTTCAAGTCTTGTGTAAGATGCTGACCCTGGCCCCCTCTCTTTAGTAAACTTACCTAAAATAAGTCTTTTCCATTAAGCCATAAATCGCTCAACAGGCCAAAAATCCTTTGTGGCTCTAACATACTGAAAAGCCACAAAATCTGCAGTTTCTCCGGGAGGGCTGAAAGGAAGCCAGTGAAGCGGGCAAGCAGCCAGCCAAGAGTCTAATTAGGCCAAATTAATTGCCTGCGCTTTTGACACTTGCAAAGACTGAATCGGCCCGAAGCCCAAAGAGTCAACAAGACAAAAGACGGCAAGACAGCCTGCTGGCGAGGCGAAACCAAGTACAACACTCAAAAGTCTATTTGCAACCGACCCTGTAGTGCCCCCTTCACCCCTCTACCGGTCCACATTTCTACCCCCTTCTGCCGGAAAAGAGTAATGTTGGCAATTTGTTGGTCGTCGTCTTATTAACCCGCAACAGGAGGAGACGAGCAAGTTGGCGGCAACTTTTTGGCCAACGCGAGAATGTCCAACGGGCATATAAATTAGCCGAGACAGAAGTTTTCACTCCCCCCTCCTCCCCCCTACAAGACCATCTTCTGATGAAAAGACAGGCAAAGTTTTGGCATCAAAAAATGTTTTCAAATTAAGCTAATTTATATTATATAAACACGCCTAATGAGTTCCCCAGCGAAGGCGTTAAGAAGGGGTGGTCATAATTTTGGAGGAGCCATCTAGTGGAAGGCCAAAAAATACAGGAAGCAAACATACTATATAAGTACTTTTGGTCCTGGCATGGTGAACATTTTGATTTGCCTCGTCCACCTTTTAAGACCCTTTGAAAATGGCAAAAGTTTTGCCCAACACTCTGGTGTTGTTGCATTTATTGTTTTACGGTTTGTTGGTGTTTTTGTTTTGCCTTCACAGTTGGCTGGCGGAATTAACGTGACTTGCATAACGCCCGAAAGTATGCAACGCGGCTGTAAAGTGTCACCATCACCATTGCCATCACCATTCGCGGCGAACCTTTTTGCTCCTTTGCTCCGCAAGGACTCGCTGCTGTGCGAAAATAAAAACAAAATGCAACTGGGGAAACGTGTCACAAACTTTATGCTCCTGCCACGCGTCACGCACGCGATTTTCGCTTAGTTGTTTGTCACTTTGTCGCCGCCTCTCTGCCGCCCCAGAAAACAGAATCCTGGCCAGGATCCCAACTCCTCGCTCCCTTCGACTTGGCCAAGAAAAATGGCGCTGGAAATTAAGCGAGCTGCCATGGCTGGAGCGGCATAAATTAGTGTGCTGAGATTTGAACCGGAGCGGACTTCAAACTGAAGTAAAATAACGACAATCTTCACTTGCGATAAAGTTTTCGGAAGCGAAAGTTTATGAATGATAGACTAACTGCCGGTATATATTCCTAAGGATAGGTTATTGGATCTGTTTATAATTTCCGGTTAACATAAAGTTGACTTTGATGAGTCTTACAATTTTATAAACACCAATCAAAATTTCTTTGGACAGTAGTTTTAAGTTGTTACTATAATATAGTTAATATACTAAAATATACGTTATTACTTAAGCATTTAAGAATTTAAGGTAAGAAAAACCCCTCCTTAAATAGACATTTTTTAAATGGCTTAGTTAAAAATCATAATAAATCCAAAGATTTTATTTTCAATGTAAATATTTTTCGGTATTGCGGAATTACTACATTTAAGAACAATAGTAAGCTTAGGACCCTTAAATATGTGGTTTTTATATGACTTGAATTATTTATTGTGTTTACATAAGTGTACAAATTATTAGCGAAAAAATTATTAACACGCTTATAATATTTTCTACTTTGATGTTGTAATGCAATTTACAAGTTTTGGTTTTTAAGTTAAGACTCTTGTGTTCACTTAAAATATTTTATACAATATTTTAAAATCAATTGGAAGATACATGCATAGTGTATCCATTCTGAAACCTTTGTCTATCTCAAAATGCAGTTAAATGAACTTTAGCCCTACAAACTTTAAGGTCTTTTAATTACTGACACAATTTAGTTGGAATTAAATTAATTTAATTACTTAATGCTGAGGCATGAGTTTCCATTTCTATTTGCTAACTGTTGCCACACTCGAAAACCACTCGAGTTTATAATAACTCACAACATGTTGCAGAAGAAACCGCAAGAACACACATATGCCGAGTCCCAACATGAGCTACACGACCGGGTCGGCAACAATGGAACTGACATCACAATGGGCCAAGGGGTCGACCAGGAATGTGGCTAGGGCTCGACTGTTGTTGGCACATGTCACCTTTCATAAAACATAGAATCACTTTGGGGTTGCAGCTATATGGCCCTTCACACGGAGCAATCTGGCCAGGAGTAGCATGTGGCCAGCACAAAGCTGAGAGCTGTCTTGAAGGAAACATCGGGCAGCTTCCAAGTGGGCCAATCTCAGCACTTGAAAATTGAAACGTTCAAATGCGAGTGCGAACGATAGAGATGTATTTGACCGCCAAGTAGCCAGATTTGACAGAGGTACAAGTGCAGAACGGATTAATTCCACTACAAAACCCCTTAGCAAAGTGTTAAGAACAAATTCGGATTCCTGAAGCACGGACGTTTGCAAACAATGAATGAATGTAAATGGTTTCTTTAAAGTGTTTAACCTTATAAGTGTTGCAATGTTTTTTGAGTTTTTATATCTTAAGTGGGACTTTGTTCTGATTATCAATACCAATCTGCATGCCAAAATTGGTTTTAATGGGACCATTTATTACAAAGTTATAAGCAAATAATAAATAATAAAATAAAAAATAAATCTCGAAAATCTCCCTCGCTCTACTTTTAGCTGAGTAACGGGTATCTGATATTCGAATTTTAATACTATTTTTAAACGCTTTAAGTTGATTTGTTGTTGTTGGTTTTTGTTAAGATACTTAGAGATATTAAGAAAATAAGTAATTTGAATAATCAATAAAACCAAAAAGATAACTTCGTTAAGTTTAGACTTCAATTAGTCTAATAAAAAGTTTGTATAAGATATTACAACACTCTAATTGATTAAGTCAAATTTAATTTGAGCATGACAAACACAACTTTAAACATTCTGGAGCCCTGGTCATTACCTCTGGCTTTCCCGTGGCAACTGCCACTTCAGCGTAAATCATTATAATAATTTAACTAGAGGACCCTCGCGGAATAAAGTCAACGGTGAAAGTTTTCCGGAAAGCAGACACAGCGAAGAAAATGGGAGGGGCCAGACAGCTGGACATCTTCAGACCGAAAAACGCCAAATGCATTTAAGTAGAAAATCTTGCCAAAAAAAAGAGAAGAAAATCCAGACGAGGAGATGCCATGATGCTTAAACGTTCTGCCCGTTTTTTCGCGGAAGTGGAACTTTTTGTTGGTCTAGAAACGAAGACGGGAAAAAACTAGTTTGCTTTATTTAAAAATCCCATGGCAACAACTTTGCCAAATCAGTTGCGAGCTGACCAAATAAAAACCTCACAACTTGCACCAGCAATAATAAAATCATATTTAAAACTTTCGCACCAAAGCAAAAAAAAACGGAAAAAAAACAAGCGACATGGAACGAAGAAAAATATGAAAAAGTAGCAAGAACTTGCCGCATTTCCATAACAAAACTTTTGCCTTAAAAACAGAAAAGTGTTTTGAGCTACTCGACACTAGGCAAAACAGTACAAAGAGTGAAAAACATTCTGAAAGTAGCCGACTAAACTTTTATTAAAATTGTAAATATTTATCAACATTCATAGACCACAGCAACCGCAGCAAATATGGTTGTGTGCTTGAGCAGTATGAATATTCCTGATAAATGACAAAGTTTTATAAAGAGAGTGAATCTTCTAAGAATTTTGGTTGGACTAAAAGCAGAGAAACGTTTTGATTAAGAGTTGGGAAAGAAATAGGGGTTTGATTCAAAATTTAAAATCACATGCCAACTAAAATCATTATAAAGGTGTCTAAAAGTATGCAATACTATATTTTTAATCCGTAACCTAAGGAGACCAACTAATTATACCCGTTACTCGTAGAGTAAAAGGGTATACTAAATTCGTCGGAAAGTATGTAACAGGCAGAAGGAAGCGTTTCCGACCCCATAAAGTATATATATTCTTGATCAGGATCACTAGCCGAGTCGATCTAGCCATGTCCGTCTGTCCGTCTGTCCGTCTGTCCGGATGAACGCTGAGATCTCGGAAACTATGGGAGCTAGGCTATTGAGATTTGGCGTGCAGATTCCTGAGCTTCCTACGCAGCGCAAGTTTGTTTCAGTAGACTGCCACGCCCACTCTAACGCCCACAAACCGCCCAAAACTGTGGCTCCTACAGTTTTGATGCTAGATAGAAAATTTTAACTGAAATGTAATGTTCTCATCAATACCTATCGATTGACCCAAAAAAAAGTTTGCCACGCCCACTTTAACGCCCACAAACCGCAAAACCCTGTGACGCCCACAATTTTCATGCTAGATAAAAAATTTTAACTGAAATGTATTGGTCTCGTCAATACCTATCGATTGATCCAAAAAATTTGCCACGCCCACTCTAACGCCCATAACGCTTAAATCTGTATACCGCCGGTAGGTGGCGCATTTTAATCTCGCTTTGCTGCTTGCATATCTCCATATAGCTGAGTAACGGGTATCTGATAGTCGAGGTACTCGACTATAGCGTTCTCCCTTGTTATTTATTAAAATTTAAAATAGTTATCAACATTGATAGACAACAGCTACCGCAGCCAACATGGTTAAATGCTTGAGCACCATGAATATTTCTGATAAATGTCAAAGTTTTATAAAGAGGGTGAATCGTCTCAGAATTTGGATTCTTCTATTCATAATTTAAAATCACGTTCCACCTTAAATCATTATAAAGATGTCTAAAAGTATGCAATACTATATTTTAAATCCGTAACCTAAGGGAACTCATTTTGAAAGACGATATTAATTTTTTTTGCATACTTTTTGGCACCTTATAGATAGTATTAAGGCCATATTCGATTTATATCCCGATTTCCATTTATAAATTTTGGAATTTGATATCCTGCAGCAGAGCATCCGCAGCAATGTTAATTTGATACAATGGGAATTCATTTGATACCCGTCTAGTAATTGCATTATCATTTAAGAGCCGGATTTAGTCTGGCCGCAACTATGCTGAAGTGGGGGCATCTTGTTTCCTACTTAAACAGCATAAACAATGTTTGTGTCCGTGCTCAACCCAGTTCTCAAGCATTTTCCGCCAGACTCGAGAACAAAAGGGGCAAATTTGCATAGCATAAAATTAAAGCAAGCGGGTGTTTAACATATGTAATTTTTGACAAACAGAAAGGCGAGCAAAACCCGGGGAGAAACCGCGAAAAGAAAACTGACAGCGCCTCGCATTAATGCAATTTAACAGGGCGTATGCATAATATTTAGCTAAGCCGAAGCCAAAAGGGAGATGAGCGAATACCGAGGCGGCGAAACTTAATTAAAAATATGCGCGCATAATTATAACTATATTTAGCAAGCAACAGCAACGGCCACATGTGCATTAATTTCGCATGAAAAAAGAAAATAGAAAGAGATCCTGGCAAGCAGCAGCACACAAAAGCCCAGCGCGAAAAAGTATGCTACACTCCACATCTATTTTTTCATTTTCGCCTCTGTAAGCGGCCTCTGCTGATGATGATGATCCTGTGCCGGGTTTTGTCAACACGCCGCCAACATCCTGTCCCCCTCGTCCTCCTCCTGGTCCTCGTCCTGGTGTCCTGATGAGCGTCAGCAGTTACCGTAAATTATTTTATTTATACCGTCAGCCGGACGGGCGGGAAAACTGCACCCAGCTAGCTGTCTGTGTGCTTGACTTAATAAAATAAATTTAGAAGCTGCATCTCTCCCCTTTTCACCCCCTCACGCCCCTTTTGGGCGCGTTTTGCAGAACGGCAAAATGTGCATAATGCCACCGAGTGTGTGTGTGTGTGTGAGAGCTGGCTGCCGTTTATTATTTATGCATGCTGTGCAACATTTTCACCCAGCAGCTGCACAACAAACGCGAAATCGTGCCACGGCTGCCTGGCCATCAGATTTTTGTTTCACTTTGAGAATCGCCGTGTTTTCAGTGTACAGTGGACCGAAATAGGCTAAAGAGTGATTATAATGATTACAAAGTTCAATACTTTTATTAGAAATCTCTGCTTATAAGCTTTTCCAGGGATACTTTGTTAATTATTAAGGAACTTACCATTAAAAATACTTAGCCATACATATGAAAATGAAGAATTAATTTGTTTGTAATCGCTTGGCAGGCTCATCCTTTTTTTTAAACTTATTAAATAATAATTTTTTAGTCGCAGGAAAAATTAAAACTAATCAATTAAGCTAAAATAAAATATTCAAAACAAAAAATATTCCTGCACAGAGAAAATTTTGAGGTTCTCATCTGAGAGGCAAATGTTCTTCAAAATAGAACGACATTTTTAAAGTAAAAAATGTTTTCATTTATTCCTAAAAAAAAGTTGTTAAATAAACTCATCTTAACTTTTCTCTTCTCACCATTTCGTTCTAGTATTGAGAACTTGATACCGAATTGTACTTACACGGTTGTTAAGAACGAATGTTCTTAATTCAAGAACAATGTACTTGAATATTTCTCCCTGTGTTCATAAAAGTTTCTCGTACTTTCATAGCTTAATACCAGAAATGGACTGGTACCCTTCATAAAATACTAAGCTATGAAGCGCATAAATGAATTGGCTATGCCTTTTAAGAAATAACCAACCTGAGAATCACTTAGATCTTAAATCATTTTGAGTATGACGGTTTGTCCAAGATGAAAGCGAAACAGTTACTTCAAACAATGCTCCTTATAAAAACCGTTGGCGTATTCTCCCTATTACATATCCAAGCAAGTGCGTATAGAATACAAAAAGATATCACTCAACTCTCTACTTTTCATTATATTTCCCAGAGAAGTTCGGATTGTCTGGCCATATAGATTGGCGAGTGAACTCCAAGAGGGAAAAGGTCAAGGAGATGATGAAGTTTGCTTGGAAAGGATATGCCGAAAATGCCTGGGGCTTCAATGAGCTCAACTCGGAGCTAGGAGTTCCGCACAATGAGAGCGTTTTTGGAAGTCACCACATCGGACTGAGCATAATCGACAGCCTGGACACCCTGTTCATAATGGGTCTAAAGGAGGAGTACGAGCAAGGTCGCAAGTGGGTGGCTGATAACTTCACTCTGGACCACATAGATGGCTACCTTTCGGTGTATGAGCTAACTGGTCGCATTGCCGGTGGTCTCCTCTCCATGTACGCCATAACTGGGGACGATGTGTATATAACCCAGTCTGAATATGTGATAAGGAAACTTCTGCCAGCCTTTAATTCATCAATGCATATACCGCATGCCAGGATTAATCCTGCAGCGAAGAAAGCTGCTCCTCATTCGTGGACTCCTGAATCGCTTCTCGGCGAGATTGGCAGTTTGAACATGGAGTTCTATTACACCAGTGAGATCACCGGACACCGGAAATATCGACCCGTAGTGCATCATGTGCGGGACCAACTGGACATGTTGTTCAAACCGCGCGACATGTATCCCGATTATATTCATCCCAGGACGGCCCTCTGGGGACCCCTGAAAATGTCCATGGGACCCAAGGGTGGCGGTGGATTGTACGAGTGTATGCTCAAGTCGTGGTTAAGATCGAATCAGCTGGACGATCAAGCACGTGACCTGTACATGAAGGCTATCCATCAGGTAATCAATAGCATGGTGGGACTAAGCTTTGGTGGTCTTACCTATGTGGGAGAACTGTCCAATTTCCATGTGATCCGACGGATGGAGCACTCTACCTGCTTTACCGGCGGACTTTTTGCTTTGGGTTCCCAGGCTTTTTACAATGATTCCCAGCTGGAGGCCAAACACCTGCAGTTGGGCAAGGATCTGGCCTTAACCTGTCGTGAGAGCTACAGACGTTCAGCCACTGGACTGGGACCAGAGTCCTTTCAATTCGACTCTGTGCCCAGGGAAGATGCCACCGCCAGGGAGAGCGATTCGAAGGCCTATCGGTTGAGACCGGATGTGGTGGAGACCTATTTAATATTGTGGCGCCTCACCCACGATCAGAAGTATCGCGATTGGGGCTGGGAGGTGGTGGAGGCCCTGGAGAAATATTGCCGCACGAAGTTTGGTTTTGCTGGTCTGCAGAATGTCTACGATCCAAAGAGTCCTAGGGATGGAGTGCAGGGAAGTCACTTCTTGAGCGAGACTCTCAAATTCCTGTATCTTCTGTTCTCCAAGGACTCGCTGTTGCCCCTCAAGAAGTGGGTCTTTAACACCGCGGGTCATCCGCTTCCCGTTCGCTATATAAACAATAAGTTCCGCGGCAACCAGCTGAAGCCCTATGTTCACTTCTCAATTTAATTTCAGACTTAGATTATATATACTTGTATTTCCCAAATAAAGAAAACAAGTTACTTGCCCCTTTAAAAAATATTCAAAATATTTTGTTATAAGTTTATTTCATCTCCAACAGAAAAAGATAAAGCCAGGAACGATAGCGGTTTTCCATAAATATAGTTATTAATTCTAATTTCTTCATTTTGCTGTTTAATTGCCTGTCGTACAAATAACGGCAAAGGTATTTGTGTTTTCTTTTGTAACAATTGTTTTACACAATTGAGTTTGACAACAATTTGCAAATTGCACGCTAACTGACCACAAAACGTTTCAATTTGGATTTATTTTTTCACAGCGTTTTGTGCGAACTATTTATTTTTACCTATGCGGCTTTATTTGCCCCAATCATTTATCGTTTCATTGGTTTCGGTTTATGCTTTTATTTTGGCACCCACAATTGTTGGCATTTAGATAATCAAAATATATCACAATATTTTCCGTTTTAATTGGCTACACAATGGCAGAAAAACAAGATGCAGACAAAAGAACATTTCAAAACAGTTGCCATTTATTAAAGCCTGTATTTAAGTTTCCAGCTATCGTAACTTGATTTCTTTTTAGATAGGGTAAAAGCTATACTTTAAGGGTTAAAGTTGATATTTAATAAAGATATCTTAAAATTATTTAAAACTTTACGCCTGTTTATAAATGTAAGCCCGAAGGCTGGAAAATTGCTGGGTTAATCGCTTTAAAATTTCATTGATAAGGAAGGAGTATTGTGGCCACAACAAAAGACGGCAGTGAAAATGCATAGCGGCCACAATGTATCTAGGACAACCTGCAGCAGGCAGGACAATAATGTGGCAAGAAATGGCAGTTCTTTGTTGCCTTCTTTTTCCCCAGCTGTTATTATTATTATTATTTTCTGTTATTTTAGAGCCGTCGTCCCTTTGTAAAGCCCTGGTTCGGCCGACGAGCAGATCATTAAAAAAAATGAAGAGGTCGATTTAATAAATGTGGCTGGCCAAAGCAAACAGAGCACCGGGCAAAAGGATATATGGCGCTGTATCCTTGGGCACTCCATTGTGCCCGCTGCCAAAAAATTAAAGCTGCGCCTTTGGTCAACATACTGTGTGTGGCCCGTGTGGTTGGCGAAGCAATTTACAAAAGTTTTTCCATCAAAAATCCGCTGTCAGTATAAATATCCTTAAAATGGCCAACACGGCTGCTAAGCGGACACACACACACACAGGCGCACTCATGGATGATGAAGGATCTCGGCCGCTTCCTGGCTGCCTGCACTTTGCTCCTGCCTGCAGCAATATGATTTATGGATGCATGTGCTGATATATGCCATGTGCCTCCTGTCTGTGCCCCGCCCACTGCCCACCGCCCCCCAAATCCACTGCACGTACGACTATTGTTGGCGCCGAAAATTATGCTACAAAATTTTTCTCTCTCCATAACTTGCTAACACACACGCCTGCAAGTTGCACTTGTATTGGGCTCATCTATTTGTAGTTCAAACAAAGAAGGACGTGTTGCCAGCACACACACACACTCGCATTTCCACTGGTAAATCAGAGCCACTTTAAATTGAGCATGTTACGTTGCATAAACCGTCTGAAGGACCTCCTTGCCCCTTTCCCCGAAAAAACATAACTCCACTGGCTTACCGGCAAAGTGATGTGCTCACTGTTTCTTTATCCTTCTGCCTTTCTCTCTCTTCTCAGATGTGGTCCTTCTGAAACAAATCTGTTTAAATGTTTGAGATGCGATTATTTCTTCTCCTATTCTAAAGTTACTAAGGATAATTCTAGGTAGGTACTGGAAAGAAAGGATTTTGTTGTGAGGGCTTTAAAAGTCTTCCCTTTGCGGTCAAATGTTTGTCAATAATCTCTTCAGGATATTAAACGTGAATGTTGTAGCTCAATACAATTCCATTATTATAGCCACTTAGCAATTTAACAGGATACATAAACTTATATATCCCTTTGATGTGCAATATGATTATGTGCCATAGTTTTTATGTTCAGCCAACCACTTTTTGAGCCATGAATTGCTTTCTCTCAAACATCTCTACCTCAACCAGAAAAGAAATCGAACAATTTCACATATTTTTATGCATGCAAAACACAAGAGCAATCGGTGAAGGGAAAACGTTGAAGATAAATCCCGAAATCCGTGTACTTGTGCACGTTGATTGCTTGGTCCGTGATGGAAAACCTGGCTCCCCTGCCATCTCGAATCTTCTGAAATCCCTTTGCCCGCCTTATCGATCAATCGACTTGCATTTACAATTCCTTTCGATTTTCCTACAGCCACTTTATCAATTTGGCCAATGAAATTCAACAGTTCTGCTTTTAGTTTTTATTCTTTCTTGTTTTGGTTTGACGTCGGAAAAAAAGGAAGGAGTATCAAAATCAAGAGGAAATAAATCTTTCATCATTGACGTGCTGTGCGAATTGGACCACTTTCGTGGCTTTCTATTGTTTGATTCGAGTACCTGGTTTTCTGGATTCCAATTCTGTTCAGATGAGAACTCAATTAATTGGATTGATTGGTTTAAATGCTGCAATTATTGTAATCAGTCGAATCACTTTCCACTTTGCATAACTTGTGGAATTATTTCTGGTTGTTTAGCAGTAAACCTGTCAAAACTTTTGCTTGACTGGTCAATTACCAAGTGTAATGTTTACACTGTAAACATCATTTCAACACGTAGTAACTGTCAAAGGAGCTTGTCAGATGAAGGAAAAAAGTATGTTCCCCTTCCTATTTCATTGTTGCCTATCAACGAACGTCGGACAACAGGTGTCCGTAAGCATTTCCCTTGTTGGAGAACCTTTTTTGGATGTGTATTTTAGATTCAACGCAGGAATCGCATGACAAATCGACAAAAAATAAAATCAAAGAATATATGAATACATTGATGAGAGATTAAACGAAGCATAAGTGTTTGTTCAATCGAGAAAACTATAGTTTTTCTTAAATTTGGTATTCAAAATACACATGAGGTATAAGAAATACTCTATATTTTTTATCAGAACACACATAACAGCAAGTGTTCTCCCTCTTAAATTGTTTAATGGATCCAATCGGTATAAGAATCATATACTTATACCTATGTAAAACTGTTGCCAAGACAGTTGTGTCAATATTGTTGTCACCTGTCCAAAACTGCACACCTGGCAACAGTTGATGCTAAGTCAATTACCCGGTGATATTCAATGACTCGTTGCCTCTGGGCGGAGTGCATTGATGAGGCATCAGCGTGTCCTGTGAGGACTTCGGGCTCAATCTCTGCCTGCTTCTTGGACGCTCTAACGAGTTCTAAAACATTTCGCCCAGCTAAACGAAGTTCAACGCACTGAATAACAAGTAGTTTTCCCAAGCTCGCACAATTTTCCTATTTTCCGTGTGCCTTTTTTTTGGTTACTGCGGCTGGCGTTGCGGAAGACTAGAGGAAAAGCTGACTTGAGACGGGACCCAAACTGAATCCTAATGAGGTGCACATTCCGTTTGGTCATATGCGGCGTATACTTGATGCAGGTCGGGCTGACAACGAGATTTTGGTCAGTGGGCGAACTAATGAGCAGCTAAATATTGGTTGACAGACCAAATGCAAGCTCAGCGCTAATTAATAGCTTTGTAAGCTACAGAATTTGAGCCCTTTGTACCGCTAATAAATTCGCCATTGTCAACAAATTAATATGACATTTTATTTATTTGCCATGTGCATAATTATGAATTATGCATGTTACATCAGGACAAACAAACTCCGTAATTTAAATCCGTTTATCTAACCTTGCCCCAACGCCGGACTTCAATAATTATTCCCATTTGATTCTGTTTTTTGCATTGTGATTTTTTTTTTACACCGCTTTTTCTTATTTTGTAATGGTTACATAATCCCTCTGTGTGCTCTGCTAACCACCATCACTTTGAAAGCACAATTTTATTTACTTTAATTAAAATGGATTAGTTTTCCCATCATTTGCGTGTGCATATTAAATTGCAGTTTTTTTCAGATGAACTCGAAAATAATGTAGTTGTTTAAAAGTTGAGGCAAATTGTACAGATGTAGCTTGGGGCTTTAAAAATTATACATTAATAGTTAAAATTACAAAATTATACTTTAGGGATAAATATAAAAAATGAAGTAATCTGCTGGGTTACAGGATTTTCCAAAACTCTCGTAGCAACAAGAATCATCTAAATCTGAACAAATTGGACAAAACAAGAGGGCCAAAACCGATAAAGGGACAAAGACGAAAAGGGATAACAAGAAGGCCCAGAACAAAAACAAAGCGCGTTGATGTATGATGTTGCCAATTGTTTGAAGTAAATCAAACGGCACCAAGCTGGGGAAATGGCTGGGATCCGGATAAGTAAGTGCAAGCCGGCAAAAGGCACATCCTGTGGTCGAGGCCTCAATGAAGCTACAAAGCAACGGTTGCCAATGATTGCCAAGTCCTGGCTGGTCCTTCTGCCATCGGGCTTTATGCCAGTTGCCTTGGGCCTGCCATTGCCAGGGTAAACAAAGCGCATTGAAAAATTGCCAGGAATAAAGTAAGCGCCCGACTGCCGGACAGTGCCGGCCAAAAGCATGCGCCCATGTCCGTGTGTTGAGAGCTCAAGAAGGCGGGGGGGAGGACTGTCATTTATATTTCTGTTACCCTGTCGGACCCGATTTGAGCCCACTTGGAGCTATTCAATCAGCCGACAACTCCTACGAGCTGGCTTCCAATACTGCGGAAAAGGGGACCCAGGCAAGTGTCATCAATTAACAAGAATCCACATCGATTATTTGCCGCCCCCACACGCATTTGGACCTTACCATAAACCTAATTTAAATAAAGTTAACACTTAATGCGAATTTATGGCCGCCAAATGTCCAAATTCGAATTTTAAGCGTGCTTGGCAATGCAAGATTTATGGCTTTGCGGTTCCATCTTACATGGTACATAGGACCAGCGGTCGAATAAGGTCAAAATAGATTATACAAATGGGGCTTAGAAATGCACAACTGGCAAATATAGCCGCAATCCACTGAAATTTTAGTTCAATAGGAAATAGTTTAAAATATAGTTTAACTATAGTTCACATTTCGACTGCCATTCATATATCATCATAGCAGCAACTCCCCTCAAAATTTTGTAGCATGAAAAATGTATTCCCAAACATTTTGGTGCCCACCATTTTAAAATTAGCACAATTTGCGCAGAGCTGCGAAACTTTGGCAACGGAAAAAAGCAAACAAAAAGTTAATTAAAACAAAAATTACGGACAGTGGTCGGTTGGCGGTGCTGGTGCCGCAGCATTAGCAGTGCAGCCAAAAATGCAGCCGAAAAATCTGCGCGCCATCTAAAACAAAAATTAATTTTTGGGCCAGGGAAAGTTTTTATTTTGTATTCTATTGTTGTTGCTGCTGTTGTTATTTTGCTGCCCAGGCGAGAGTTTGCATTGTTTTGCATATTTTATACGGCGGAAGTGTGTACGTCCCGCAACGGCAAAGGCACTCGCCATCATTCCGGCCGGACTGCCATCGCCCCCAAAAAGGAGAAACTGGAAAAAAATGGGGGGAAAAAAGTGTATGCAACACGCAAATTATGCAGGCGCATAAGACAAACTTTCTGTTTTGCGGATTCGACAACCGGCGAAATGAAAATTAATACGAAAGCCGAAATGGGAGGCACAGGCTCCCTCGCAAACACACCCACATCGGAGATCCACAACGGCATCGGCAACTGGAGCACCACTGAGTAATTAAAAATGCAACCAACGGGCAGAGCGGGGAATCCCCGGCAACTGTACTGAAGGAGATAATATCGGACATGTTCTCCAGCCGGAAATTTGGGCCACTTCTACGATATTTCACGCACAGCTGGAACTAGATAATGGAGATTGGGTACTGCAATGGCCAAGGCGTTTTAAAAATTCTAGTGAAAAAATGTAATAAATTAATAGAGTTTATATTCCGAAAAAATTCAGCAAATAAAAATGCGGTCTGAAAATATTTTTTTTGCTGTTAAAGTTTTTTTAGTAAATAGATATTTGTCTACACAGAGAAAACTATCTTAGAAATTGAGAACAGAAAAGTTAAATAGATTTTATTTAACAACTTTTTGATAAGTATACACTAAGGACTGAACTAATAGTTTATTTGTACATATAATGTACTTAAATACCGCCAATTTAACTTGAATAGAGCAAAATAAAAACATTTTAAACTTTAAAATGTCGTTCTATTTTTAAGAAAATTTTCAACTCAGATGAGAACGTCAGAATTTTCTCTGTGTATGAATATATCTAACACAAACAAATTATTGATGCAATTGCGAAATGATATTGTCTGAAAAATTTGTCTCTAAAGAGACATTTTAAATTTATATTATACACATGTGTATTATTGCAATAGTAGGATATAATAGTGATTTGATATTTAACTTACTTGATAAACCCAAGTAAACACCATGTAAAAAATAACCTTTCGAGATTATTTATTCTGTACTTACTCTGTACTATTTTGTTCCGTTGTTGGAGTGCTCAAATGTTTAGTTATTATTGGGGTACTCGACTTCTTACTTTGAGGTCTCGTCATCTTCTTCTTGTTAATATTTTCAAAGGATTTTCCCCGATGGAGCACACAACAATGGGCAACAGGCGAGTTGCAAACTCGATTCAGATGAGTGATGCCAGGACACGGTGTTCCTTTTATAATGCAACGTCCCCACTTTCCCATTTTGCGCCTGCAAACTTTGAACCGCAATTAGCCTTAAACTCGCTAACCAATGACGTGACCATTAACTTACTTATATATTGAAGTTTACCCTCTAAGTCGTCAGGGGCGAGAAGAAAAAGTAAAGCAAGAATATAAAGTACTTTAGCGAAAACCATTCTGGCTCAGTTCAAAGGCAGATGTGACATTTTTAATTTTAGTTTTAAGACTGCGAAGAAGCTATATTAAACAAACTAATCAACTGTAGGGAACTAATCAGTAAAGCTTTTATTTCACAAGTTTAATTTAATTTCTTACATTGCACAACACATGGTGTTGGGCCCGCAAAATCTGTCTCTATAGCGTCGAAGGTTGCATTCCTTATTATTGGCTGTGCATTGGCCCCATCCCCGTTTTCCTCTGCAGACTGGATGTAAATATTAATACAAATATTTTCTCAGCATTTTTTCAATGGCAATTTGGTGACTTACAGATTCGTGATTTTTGAGCGTTGACAATAATCAGCGGCAATAGCAGGATTAAGAATGCTAAGTATTTAATGGACATTCTATATTCAAGTGAGCAGTTTTCTTTTGCAACCAAAACATCTGTGAGATTTTTTATATCTACCATTAAAGCTGAGAAAAATCACAAACTGGACAAAATTACCGATTTTATGCTTTAGCTATGCATTGAAAACAAAGCTTGTATCAATCGGTTCGGGATTGCTATAATTCAAACTGGTTTTCGCAGTGAAGATGCTGGAGAAAAAAGGCGAAATACATTAAATAAAATCAACAAAACCCAGTATCGGGTTTGGGTTTGCTGCTTTTGTTTTTTTACCGGCACCAGCGACATTCAGAAAAGGCAAAACCAGCCCCCATCGGTATTTTGGTTCCCCCATCGCCTCAAACTCGCCCACATCCACATCGATCGATCTTGCTGACGCTGCGAGAGATCTCTTCAGTTACTCGAGACGATCGCACGACGCACGACGCATTCCGCACTTTGGTTATTTTCGTGATTAATTTCGGAGAGCAAAGACGTATTATAATAGATCCCATGTTCCACTCTGTAACCTTAGTGCCATATAATCAGTTCAAACACTAAAAAGCACTTGGATTTTAAATCATTTTTGCTTTGTTTTGCAAAAGGCCTTGGTTTTTCTTACCAAAATTAGGTCAAGTGCATTGTTTGTGTAACACAGTGACCTGAAAAGTTGTAAAATCTGTATCAATGTGAAGGAAAAGTGCTTAGAATTACCCGGACAGAAACATATGCAAACAAAAAGTGCAGTTGACGCAGTTTTAGAGCTACTGGAAGTGGCAACGAATACAGTTTGAAGTGAAGTAAGTGATTGTTTTTAAATTAAATAAAAACATGTAGTTAATTAAATACAGCAAAGAGTATAGTAAATATCTGCAAAAAGATATATTTTAATTGTTAAATTAATTTGAAAAAAATTGTAATCATTTAAATTTGCGCGAACCCTTGAAGGCCAGGATTAAATGCAAGAACTACAAAACTGGAAAATTTAAACAATTCGAACACATTTGTTAAAGATATAAAAATAAATAAAGATATAAAAGGTAATTATTAAATAAATTATTAAATGTGTGCTTATAAAACTAAATAATATAAAACATGTAAATTAATAGAAGAAGAAATGTACATGGTTTCTACATGTAAAATTTACGATTGCGCATGGTTTATAAGAGCGCCACTATTAAAATGTTTTTTGACGGGTCTTAAATATTTTCAAATGGATAAAAAAAACTTTTTATTTCCATATATTAAATACAAAAAAATATTATAAACACATTTATTAAGCCACAGACTTCTGTTATTAGATTATTCAACATTTATTTACATGAAATTTGATGTCAAATAACATTTTTCGCACTATCTGGCATCGCTTTTTATTTACATAAAGTGGCCGTTTGCTTAAAAATTGTTTAAAATATATGTTAAATTAGTTTATGACTTAAGAAAACGATTTTAATTGAAATTTCAAGAAAATAAAAATTTTAACATGCTATTTAATTTTTTTAATAAATATTGATACTGCTATGCAATTTGAAGTTACAACATTTATTAAAAATTTGTTTATAAAAATAATAATATTTAAAACAATAAAGTTACATTTTGAAAAGTATGTTAGTTTTGAACTTAGATTTATTTAAGCCTATCAAAACTGTTTTTAATTTTAAATGTAATTTTTAGTATTTTTTAGGGTATTTTCAAAATCATCCAAAATGAGTCAGTCTTGTATACCAGTCAGCGCAAAGATGTCGAAGGCAAAGAAAGTTTTAGATGAAGCCAGAGAAACTCAAAACCGGGAACTGGACCTGGTGGACAAGGGTCTTACGTCCTTCGAGGAGATGCCCGGATTGTGTGAGTATCAAAATTAATTTATTTAAACTAAGACAAATGGTTATTTTACAAAACTCAGTCAACAGACTGCAGACACTCCCACGCAGAAAAGGGCCTCGCCCCAGATGTTTAGAAAAATTCAAAATTAGTAATGTTCTTGTGTACTGCCACTACTTACAGTATTAGTTGGTACTTTTATTAATTCGTAAAGATTACATCGTGTTATAAAAATCAGGCATTCCGTTGTATTTATTGCGATGACGCCAGCACCAAAATAGACTTCAATGCGCGTACAAAATGTAAACAAAGTATTGACGAACAACATTATGAGACGCCAGAGATGTTTTGGTTAGTTACCTCTTTAAATTATATATATATTTTATTAATTAAATTGGTAAAACTAAAATGATTTATTATTTTTTGTTTTTGGTTTATCAAATTTTGTGAAAAAAACTTTGCGCATGCCTATGTTTATATAGTTATCCCGCTCTAACATTCGGCGTCTATACTTGTTGCGTGCAATCAGCTGTTTACATTTGAACCCAGTGCGAAATTTACTGCAGATAAGAATAAAATACGTATTCTTAAAAAAAATTTATTTTTTGAATGTTTTCAAATTCATTTAAACCTTTAAAACAATTTTAATTTAAGTAATACATCTTCATAAATGTATTTAAATCTAATTGAATTATTTATCAAAACTATTTTGATGAAGTAAGATACCATTTAGTTAAACTGGTAATTAGTAATTATGTTTTTTAAAATACTTATTTACCATAACACTTATTATAATTCCTGTGTTTTTACCAACAGTCAACATGTCCAACATCACGCGCCTGACTCTATCCCACAATAAAATCAGTGTGATCAGTCCCGGAATTGCGAATCTACTCAATCTGGAGATCCTCAACCTCTCGAACAACCAGTTGACCGAACTACCCGTTTCGCTGTCGTCCATGCCCAAGCTGCGAATCCTCAATGTGTCCATCAACCGTCTGGTTTTTCTTCCTCGGGGCTTTGGAGCCTTCCCCGTTTTAGAGGTCCTGGACCTGTCGTACAACAATCTTAATGAAACGTTGCTGCCTGGCAACTTCTTTGGGATGGAAACTTTGCGTGCTTTATATCTGGGCGATAACGAATTTGAGTATATTCCGAAGGAGGTGGGTCAGTTGAAGAACCTGCAAATTCTGGGACTTCGCGACAACGATCTCCTGGAGCTTCCCCGTGAAGTTGGAGATTTGGCGCGCCTTCGGGAGCTACACATTCAGAACAACAGACTGCAGGTCCTGCCGCCAGAAATTGCCCAGCTCGACCTCTTGAGCAACAAGTCGGTGATGAAGATGGAGGAGAATCCCTGGGTCAATCCCATTGCCGAACAATATCTGCTAGGCATCAGTCACGTGATCGACTACCTCAAAACGGAGACCTATAAAATGTGAGACCAGAAAAAAAATTCGAAAATAGTACTCCCAACTTATCAGTTATTCTCTCGACAGCATCTACAACCGTCATTTGCAGGCAGGACGTAATGGACCACCGCCACCCAAGGCCGACAGGAGCAAGAAGGCCTCCCGAATACGCGCATAGTTGTCCTCGGGCAGAAGATCCAAAGAAATACTGTGTTCGTCTCGTTCGTTGTTAACCAAACTCGATTTTGTATACTAATTTATAAGTATTTGTAAACTAATGTGTATTTTCGCAAAGTGCCTTGACTCTGTTTCTCACTAATTAAAATTAAAGAATTAAATTAGAAGTTTCCTTGGGGGTGCTAAAATTATCGGAAGAGGCCTTAGGTAGTCCCTTTTTGTTGTTAAATAAACACACTCTCTTTTATTTTATAAAATAGTAGGTTTTTCTTGTTTTTTATTATCTTTTTTTCATATTCATCATTCTTTTTTAAGACATTTTTTTTCATAATCATAATTAATTAGTTTACTTAAAGTCAATTAATTAATTCTTTATTTATTTTAATTAAATTAATAGTTAAATGTTTTTTGTTTTTGTTCTTTGTTTGCTATGTTGTTTGAGAAAAAACGAAAGCATAGTTTTGCTTTGTTCGCTTTGAGTTATGTTTCGTTTCTTTGCATTTTTCACTTTTCAATTTGAATTGAATACATACTTCATATATCAATTTATGCAATTTAATTATTCTGTAAACTTATTTTGCCTTTTCTGTATATGCAATTCAATTTTAATTTATTCCTTACAGTGTATTTTAGTATTTATATTTATATATATTTTATAGAGTTTATTTACAAGAGTTTGAAGATGTTCTTTTTCGTAGAGTGTTGCAGAAATTCAAAGTAAAGCTACCACAGAAAACACGGTATTCAAATACATTTATCAGCAAATTTCTCGAGCCGAGAAACATAAAAACGACATTATTTTAAAACCAACTTGAGAAAACTCTATGGTAAACTATTCAAAATTTGGATATTAGGAAGTGAACACAAGGATTCCAACGATATAATCAATTAGCTTCCATCATATTCATGTCTTTTCTTGGAGTAGTGCATCAGTCGGGACTCCGTGAGTTGCACGATTTATCTTTGAGCATGCAAATTCGAAACACGCAGACAAAAACAAAAAACATAAACTAGTAACCTATGAGACTACAACAAAGTAAATTACAAGCACACGCAGACTCGTATTTGCATGACCTACGCATTATCAGATACGTACATAAAAATAAATTTCAATGTTGGCAGATATACACGTACATGATAGATAACATTAAACATAATCAGTGGTGGTCTTGCTACCAGATTGCTAAAACATAAAGCTTTAAACCTAATACTAATAAAAATTGACAATAGAAAATTGTACCTAAGATAGTAAAAATACATGAAATATAAAAATTAGTTACTTCGTTTGCCATTTTTTCTGCACAAGGAAAATGTATACGGAAAACAATCAAAGCGGTTTTCGAAAGTTGTACAGAAAAATGCGTTAAGCAACAAATTAAAAAGATTGGATTGTTTCCACCATTACTGTTTAGTCTCGCTTTTTCATTTAATATTTATGGTTTTCATACTTTTTGGTTTTCATGGTTGTTTGCTAGTTTACAAATGCAATTTTGACGGCTTAAATAAACGTTTAGCCTTCGGTACAGATAAATACAATTTAAATGCTTTGTTGTTTCCGTTCTTTTTGTCGATGAAGCTTAATTAACTCGCACTGTTTTTATTTAATTAATTTTTTTGTACAAAACACATTTTCGTGACTTAAGTGCGTAATTAATTTCGTATTCATGCCTAGCGCTTAGAAATCTCACCGACATATAGAATGCATTTCTCATACAATTAAACCTTAGTTTTTCATTTCATGTATAATATTTGTTTGTTGTGGCTGCTGCTATTTAATATTTGAGTATGCATAATAAATATATACATACAAATGTATATTTTTACCTCTTGTTTTTATATGTATTATGCATGTTGCCGCTTTTAATTATTTATATTAATCATAATTTGCATTCGTATTTTTCATTTCAATTTATTTAATCAAAAATATCATTCACTTTTAGCTTTTTCTGTATTACGAAATTTGTCTCAATTTTTTTTTTGTGTTTTTTTTCTGGCGGTTTTCCCTTGTGGCATACAAACATTGTTTAAATAAAAATAATTAGCATAAAAATTACATTTACATTTAATTTGAGTTCATTTGATTTATGTGGTTTTTGCTTTTGTTGCTGTTTGGGATGTGTTGTTTGCTGTTGTTGTTGTTGCTGCTGCTGCTGATGCTGCTTGATTCGCTTAGCCTTTGGCCTTTTATGGCGCTCCATTGCCACTTTTGGCTGTCAAACTTTGCTATTGTTGGGCGCCCGGGTGGTGGATTCATACTGGCCCCGCCCCAAGGCCGCATAGGCATCGGCGTAGGCGTGCTGCTGCTGCTGCTGCTGCGACTCCAATTGCTGCTGCTGCTGCTGTTGCAGATGATGTTGCTGCTGCTGTTGCTCGTGCAACGATGTCGGCCGACTAAAGCTTACTTGTAGCGGCGGCGGCGCGACGCCTAAGAAAGGAAACAAATTGTAGATAGATATTAATCAGTGGATGTGACAATTTACATTGACATTCGTCATTAGTTGTGTTAGTATTTTCTGATAAAATTACATTTATAAGCATTTTATAAAATATTTTTTAAAAGGAATTGTTTGAAAAATATATTTATTAAATAAGAGAAAATCCAAGAATTTAAATTAGGAAAAAAAAAATATTATAAAATGCTTCACAACAATTTATTCAAAAAGATTAATAGTGTTAATTAAACCATTTAAATGCACATGCAAAAACAAAACAACAACAATACAAAAACATTATCCAAAACTAAACGGAAAAGGGGTACTGGAAAAATAAGAGGAAATCAAGGACTCATGCCAAATGGAAGAGGAAACCATTAACAGGGGGAAAATCACATCCAAAAAACTGAAAAGGGTCACAAACCAAGGGAGGAGCAAAATCACAAAGGTCATACCAATTGCTTCGGCTAAATGATATATCATTTTGATCTTTTTTTTCTTGTGTGTTGGTGGTGGATGGGAGGCAACAACTCATGGATCGATGACTAGCAGCGGGCGTTTTTGTTTTGGTTTCTTGGGATTCGGGGTCTGTCTTTCAGTGTTTCTGTATGGCAATGTGATGGATCCACTCCTAATAAACGATATTGCGGCGCACCGGCTTGACGTTGGCCTTCTCCTTGCTGCTGCTGCGACTGCTGTTGGCCTGCTGCGACTTTTGCGACTTTGAGTCTTTGGCTTTGGCACTTTTACCGCTCTTGCTTTTACTACTACTGCCCGCCCCCGATCCCGAGCCCGACCCACTGCCGGCTGCCGCTGTGGATGAGTTGGTGGTTGTGGTGTTGGAGGTGTTGTTGGTACGTGATGATCGGGACTTATTGCGTGGTGGTAGTTCTGAATTTTTGTAGCGTTTCGCAAACGAAAAGAAAAACAACAAATTAAATTTGTGGAAAAAACGCAATGGGGGAACTTGGGTGAGAAAATGAGGAGCGTGTCTGGGGCAAAACTACCGGCTCACTCTATTTTGTGGAGGAAAAGGGACACACACCTTTCGGCGTGTAGAACGCTTGTTGTGGTTGCTGCTGTGGCGAAATTGCCGGCTGCTGGAGCTGTAGTTGTTGTTGTTGCAGTTGCTGCTGTGCATTTGGCGGCGGCAATGGCAGCGGCAGCTGGGCCCGAGCCACCACACCGCCGCTGCTAATGGCCGCCTGGACACCACCACCAATGGAACCCGGTATCGCCTGCTCGGCTCCATACCCGCCATGTGATCGCGCTGCTCCGCTTGTGGCTCCACTTCCGCTCGCCGTCGCCTGTGGTCGCCCACTGCTGGTGGATCGTGTGCCGCGTCCATCACTTCTTCTCGCCTGATTCGCCGCCGAGTTGCGACTCGAATGGCTGCCGCCGGTGGGCAGTGGAACAATTGAGTGACCACCCTGCTGGCGATCCCAATCGTGGGGATGCGACTGGTGGTGCGATCGGGAGCCACCGTGGCGACCTCCTCCTCCACCACCGCCGCTGCTACGGGGATAATGCTGCGCCTCGTGGGCCGGTGGCGGTATGCTTCGAGGACCTGCTCCTCGCTGATTGGGATGACGTTGCTGAAATATTCCAATACAAATTATAATACTTGCATAATACAATACTCAAACACCCTACCATTCTTCGCAACGTGTTCATGGGAGCTCTCAGGGTTTCGCTGATGCGACGAGCCCGCCGCTTCTTCGGATTGGAGCTGGGCGTGTGTACGGCACAGCATTTGATGAACGAACCCATGACCACGATGAAGGCAACGCCCATCAGAACCACCAGATACCAGTTATCGACGATCCACTCAGCCACTGTCTGCAGTGTCTCCCGGTTGAGCAGCAGATTCTTCAGTCGCACCAGCGGCCCATCTGCATCCACGGCTCGACACTTGAGGAACACATCGCAGTAGCCCTGGAAGTTGTCGCAAGGCGAACCTGGCTGCAGACTTATGCCACCCTTCTGGATGTTATATTTATCCGCAAACTCGCTGGTGCTGCGACAAGTGGAGGTGTCATTGCCATCCTGACAGGCCAAGTCGCACAGCTTGCGCTTATTCACATGTGGCAGCGTGGTCGAGGTGAGGAAACACTTGGTCATGTTCCACAGCAGACATGGCGATCCACTGCATTCACCCCGAATGCACAGTGCAGTTCCATTGTTGCACATGGTCTTGTCATCCCGATGACGTGGCTCCGGACACTCGGCGGTCGTTCCATTGCAAGTGCTCGACCAGCTGCACTCCGTCTCCTCCTTGCACTTCTGGTGGTAGCTGGTGGGCACAAAGGTGCAGGAGTTGGACAGGCAGCAAGGACCCTGCGATGGCGAGCACTGCGTCTTGGCACGGCGTGTACAGCCCTTGGCACTGGAGTTCAGCGATTGGTCGTACTCGCTGATCAGGCGCGGGTAGCAACACTTGTCCTTGCACTCGTCCTCGTTGAACCCACAGTCGCACTCCTCGCCGGACTCCACGATCTTGTTGCCGCAGAAGGCTCCCTCCGAGGCCTTAAAACAGTCCCGCTTCGAGTTGCCCACCAGCACGTCCAGAACGTTCGAGATGTTCCTAATGGAGCAGGGTGAGAACTTCGAGTTGTTTGGCCGATCACCGGAGGTGGCACTGGCAAACATAATAAAATTGCCGTTGAGGCCACCGGGGCGACATTCCTGCGGATAATCGTGCTGGGGAGGATAAAATTGAAAATAGTTAG